GGGAGGGGGGAGCGGGGAGGGAGGGGGAAAATGACCTAATGTCGGGGGTTTATGTAGAGAGAATGTTTTGAGAATGATGTACAAATGCGCTTTACACAATTGATATGTGTATGGATTGTGATAAGAGTTGTATGAGCCCCTAATAAAATTTTTTTTTTTAAAGTTGTATTAGCCCCAGTAAAATGAATGTTTTAAAAGACACGAGATAAATATTTTCCTTATGAATAAAAAAAATTAAATGAAAGCAAACAACAAAAAACAAGTACCCGGCATAAAACTGTTACCCATGCTACACCATGTTTGGAGGCAAAATTTCATTTATTTGTCATTAGAAATAAAATATTTCACAATATGTAGTAGCATATTTTCGTGATTCATTACTATGCTTTCATTATGTTCAATTTGTAACAATGAAAATACATCCTGCATATCAGATATTTACATTAGGATTCATAACAGTAGCAAAATTACAGTTATGAAATAGCAACAAAAAACAATTTTATGGTTGGGGGTCACCACAACATGAGGAGCTGTATTAAAGGGTTGCAGCTTTCGGAAGGTTGAGAACCACTGCTATAACTGTTTATGGGAGCAGAAAGCCCAGACTTTCTCCCTTAGAGTTGCTGGTAATTTTGAACTGCCGACCATGTTGATCACAGTCCAGCACGTAAGCACTACACCACCAGGGCTCCATTAGGTCAAAAAAGAGGGCCAAATGCCTTGGAAATTGTGAGAATTTAATGAAGTTTATATAGCAAGTGGGAAAACAATGCCTAAGCATCAAGAGGCATTCCTTAATTTCAGTTAAACCGGGGGCAGGGAGGGGGGGGCCGGAAACTTTAGAATACCCTTGTTGCTCACTTAAGGGACCTACAAGTTGGCATAATGGTGTAGTGGTTAGGGGTTGGGCCGCAAACTGCAAGGTCAGAAGTTTGAAACTACCAGTTGCTCTGGAGAAGAAAGATGAGACTACTCCTGTGAAGAGTTAAGGCCACTTCTCCTTTGTACTCTAAGGTTGCTATGAGTTGGAGTTGGCTGATGACAATAGGCTTATTACCCACTTAAGATAAAGGAAATTATTAGTATTGTCCTTAATATGCTATCATTGAGGCTTTATTTATTGAATGTAAAAGTACCTTTAATATTTTGGATATGTATGCTTCCAACTTTAGTCTCCTAATCTTTTTCCTTTTTATTTTAATCGTTTTATTAGGGGCTCATACAACTCTTACCACAATCCATACATACATCAATTTTGTAAAGCACATTTGTACATTCATTTTCTTTTTAAAATGAAATCTTAAGTTGGGAATTCATTTGTTATTGAGGCAATTCCTAGAGCAATGAATGTTGAGAGAAAATTAATCTAGATTATTTTGTTTATATTTCCTTTAAAAAATCTTTTCTTATGAAAAATTTCAAACAATAGAAAATATAGAACTAGAATTTGAATCCCTTTGTACTGGTACCATTCCTCAAATTTGAATATTATCAACTTGAGATCAGTTTTCATTTTACTATAATATCCACAGCCCCAATTATTTAGAAGCATGATAATGTAAATGCTATCTTAGGTCAGTAATAAGCTCTCCTGTTACCTCTTTTAAAAAAATTATTAGTTAAAATCCACATCCAATCAAGATGCACATTACAGTTGATTAATCCATTCAATCTCTCTTTAGTATTCCACTGTTCTCCTTTTTGCATCTTATTCATTATACATTGAAGATATTTGTTGAAAACTATTATGTGTTCTCTAATTTTCCCTGTGCTTTTTGGGTGGATTAATAATTAGAAATCTAGATGCAGTTTCAATGATTACTCATTTTTAAAATCATTTTATTGAGAATTCTGACAATGCTTATTACAATTCATACATCAATTGTATCAGGCATATTTATGCATATGTTGCTATCATTCTTTCCTAGACAGTTACTTTCTATTGAGTCCTTGGTATCAGCTCCTCTTTTTTGCCCCCTCTCCCTTCCCTACCCTCATGACCTCTTGATAGATTATAAATTATTATTTTCATAACTCACACCCAACCACTGTCACCCTGCCCCCATGATTTCCGTTGTTCTTCCCCCCTGGAGGGGTTTGTGTGGTTGTGTGTCAATCAGTGTTTACTCTTAATGTGCTTGTGTTTCATTCTTGAGAATGAGATTGCTGCTACTTTATGTCCTTTATAAAGTTAAAAATTCCTTCTGTATATATAACTTAGAGAAAAATTAATATTTTGCTAGATGTTTATAGCTTCCATTTATATGCAAACTCTTGATAGCCACCTGAGAGACATATTATGCTTTTGTTATTAATTATACCTTAACAATTGAAGTATTTTATAAATCTCCACAAATTTGTTTTAATAGGTGGGAATTTGAAGAATCTGAAGAAGATCCAGTGACAAGTATCCCATACCAACTTCAAAGGCTTTTTGTTTTGTTACAAACCAGCAAAAAGAGAGCAATTGAAACCACAGATGTTACAAGGAGCTTTGGATGGGATAGTAGTGAGGGTACGAATTCTCTTACAATAAGTATTTCTAATCAAAGAAGTTGATTAGAAATAATGTATATTATAATATATACTTATATAACCAGTATAATATTATACTTAATGCATGCTAGCAACTTCATTAACTTTATATCTTTTCATTGCTTTTTGCTGGGATTTAAAAAGTACTTGTATTAAAAAATTTAAGCTTCATGGGGTAAATTTTGGATAAATCAAACTTACAAAATAACTTTGGGTATAGTCTATTTTTATTAGATACTTAAAATATGTTATTGTCTTAGTTTTTCATAACATATTTCTTAACTACAGTGAAACATAATTAAAACAACAAATATCATAATCCCATAAAGCATATGCTGTGTACAAAATGCTGAGCTCTGTTGATTCTTTTCTGTGTGAAAACCATATCATGTTTGTATTGTATATTTTGTGTACATTTAGAATTATTTTGTGTAGACGTGGCCAAGTGTCTGCCACTTTACTTGTAACCAACCAATTTTTACTGCATTCTAGGTGTTGTTAATTTTAACCAATTTTATCTTGAACTAGCGTGGCAGCAGCACGATGTTCAGGAACTGTGCAGAGTCATGTTCGACGCACTGGAACAGAAATGGAAACAAACAGAACAGGTAGTTCTCTTTTCTAAAGGTGAAGTAGGCCAGAGTCTATTAGGATTTGCAAATAAATCCTTCACCAACTTTAAAGTTAACTGCTATTGGAGTGTTGTAAAACTTGGGCATTAACCTGGTTACATTACTGAAGAAGGAATTGGAAATACTAGGCTATCATTTAGTCAGTTGCTTGGGTCATAAAAATCATCAGCAAACCACCCTAGACCATAATTTCTTTACTTTTCATGTAAGGAAATTGGGCTGTGTGATTCATTAAAGGCCTCGGTGCACCCCCTAAAAAGCTCTATAATTAGGAGTTTAAGTTTATTGGGATGGCTTTTACACATTCACTATGAAGTTGTCTCTCTTAAAATCTGTAACACATAGACCAGAGGTGACCGTGGCGATACCAGGACAGAAGGGGAGGTAGAAAGGGGGAATCGATCACAAGGATCTACATATAACCTCCTCTCTGGAGGATGGGCAACAGAAGGGTGGGTGAAGGGAGACGCCGGGCAGTGTAAGATAAGATATAATAATAATTTATCAATTATTAAGGGTTCATGAGGGAGCGGGGCGTGGGGAGGGAGGGGACGGAGAAAAAAGGAAAATGAGCTAATTCCAGGAACCCAAGAGGAAAGCGAATTTTGAGAATGACGAGGACAACAAATGTATAAGTGTGCTTTACACAATTGATGTATGTATTGTGATGAATTGTATGAGCCCCAATAAAATGATTTTTTTAAAAATCTGTAACATAAAGTCCAGTCATCCGGCACTTTTCTCATTTTGACCAACTATAGAATAGTCAGATACTTTTAACACTTAGAAATCCTCATTATTTGACTCTTATGCAGCAGAAGAAAGAATAAGTAAGAGTAGGTTAAAAATTAGGCATATCACTGGCATGAGGAAGAAGGCTAAACTGGATGGGTTAGGGTAGAGAAGGGCTTATCTTGGGTGTAGTGGTGAAAGATCACAGGGATAAAAGAGGAAGAAGGGTAGGGGGAGTACTGAAGAAACACTGGTTTGAACTCCTTTGAAATGGCCTTCTAGGTTCAGAAAATGTAATCCGATATGACCAGGACAGGTGAAGGAAGAAGGCTATATTAAACAAATAATAAATATTAGAATAGAGAAGGTGGATTATAGTCTAAACATTTTTAAGTCCTAGCCATTAAAAAATATATAAATTGCTAAAAGACATAAGCTCTAATTTCCCTCTTAAATTGTAAGTTCCCCTAGCAGCCACCTTTCTCTGTCTAGGCCTTTGGGACTGTACTAAAGTTCTAGAACTGGTGTTGGGGGCAGTTTCTTTGTAGGTATGATGTTCCCGTTCCTTGTTACATCTTCCTTTGTTGTCAACACTTCGGTTAAGATCAGCTGAGTCATACTGAGTTCTCAAGGTTTGGTACAAGAAGCTTGAGACAAAATATTCATACAGAGGGTCCTTACCCGTTCTTTGAACCAGAAGAGTCCAAGTTGGCTAAGTTTGGTGAATAGTTCAAAGAATCCATTCTTTAGGTGAGGAAGATGGGTTTAACGATTGTTTTTCCCTTTACCTTTTATACTTGATGTATATACATATTTCTCCTCAAAATTGTTATATTTTTTATTGTAATTTAAAGTTTTATTTGCATCTTGAGTTCAAGGATGCTACTAACATAATTGTGAAAATGATCACAATTTTCACAAAATAAGCAATGATCAAAAATAAGCAAATTCACAAAATAAGCAAAATAATGTGAAAATGATCACAAAATAAGCAAATTTAAAGCTATAAATTATAATTGTCAACATGCTTAAAGGTGCTTGGTAGTATATATTCTGTCCTCATGTAAAATTAATGGGACGTAGTAGTATAAAAAGTTGGTAGCTGATTTTCATTAAAGCCTGTTTTAATAGCTCATGTTTTTAAAAGTATAAGGATCAAAATAGTTAATTTTTACACACTGACTCTTAAATGTGTTAATCTAATTTTATAAAAAAATACTATTGCCATATCTCAATTTTTAAAAATTGAGTTATAAGTTAAATCTACTTTAAAATGTTCTAAAATTTTAATGCTAAAAATCATCATTTAATGAAACCCATTCTACAAGGCATAAGTTGTGTTTTCATATATTTTAAAAATGTGAATTTTTAAAATAACTATTCTTATTTTTAGGCTGATCTTATAAATGAACTATATCAAGGCAAGTTAAAGGACTACGTGAGATGTCTGGAATGTGGTTATGAGGGCTGGAGAATCGACACATATCTTGATATTCCATTGGTCATCCGACCGTATGGGTCCAGCCAAGCATTTGCTAGTGTGGTGTGTACCTTTCAGCTGACTGCTTGTGTATCCTTACACAGAATACATAATAGCACAGTGGTATAATCTATTTTAAGGTAAGTATCATCCTAGATACGCCTTCTTGGGTTGTTAATCATTCCTGCATTTAAATTAGCAAGTCTAGAAGATTTTTGACCCTTTAATGAGTTCTAGTAGTGCATGTAGAAGAGGAAAAATGAATGCAAATGTACTGCCTCATGGCTCAATAGTTTATCCTTCTCAAAGGTGATCAGTAGGCTTTTAGAAACCTATATGCACTCTGTTTTGTGCTCTTGTTTGCCTTTTTTTTTTGTATTGTAAAGTACATTTTGTTTTCTAGGGGATTGCTTTGGTCTGTGCACTTTTAAAATTAGAAAAATCACATCCGGTTTTTATGATTAAATATAGCCACCTTTTTAGAAGGGGGATCCTTGTTCTTTAGATTTAATTTAAAATGTGCGCATTGTATCAGCACAGTTCATTTGAAGATGCAAATTTAAATATCAGTTTATATATGAAAAATCTAATCGGAGGATTATCTAAGATCCTTCATTCCTCCTCTTGTCATCCACTGTGAATTGCTGATGGATAAATTTTTATTACAATTTTCTGTATAATTCAGAAGGAGAGTTAATAGACAGAGTAAGGCTGATGTTTAAAAGCACAGGACTCAGAACTATGCATTTAAATCTGTTATATGCCCGGGGAACAGAGCGACAAATGACGACATCTAGAGAAAGCAGAATTTCATCTTACTGTTTAGAGTATTTGTGTAATTTGAACTAGAAATAAAACACTAAGAAATAATCAATTCTTAACCAGTAGTTTCTAACAAAAATTTAAATACTGCTTTTGTTTAGCAAAATATACTAGGAAAAAATTTGATAGTTTCAAATGACATAGACCAATTTTTAAAATTTTGTCTATTAAGCAGTAATTGTTCAAAGCTCTTTCTCATGTATTTCAGTCTAGGTTTTCTGTTGTAGTTTTTAATGTTGAGGAAGCTTATTTCTGTTGCCAGATTGGCCTCTTCTGTTGGCATGTTTGACCAGTGTAATCACTTAAATCTTAGTCGTTTGCTTCTTTGCATGCTGATTTACCACCACTCCTTTAAACGCATTATGAACAGGAGTGGAACACTCTGGAGGACACCTTTTAGAGAAGTGAAAAGTCACATTTCTAAATGGAATTCTCCAAAGGTAACATCCTCCATTGATCCACATGTGGTGGTTGCGGTTTTGTGGGACTTGGAAATTACAGCTGTGAAGCAGTCGGTAAGCAGGTTTATAACACACATGCACTAATAGGACTTTTGGAAGGGAACTTAAAACTTCTTAGACTTTGCTGAAATCTCCTGAGGGAAATTACAGCAGGTAAAACTGCCCAAGATAGGAGTTCTAAGGAGGATACTACCTTCAGAGAACTTTAGTTAGAGGTAAGTGACTTCCATTATTTCATGAATTAAAAACTTAAACTTTACATTTCTTAGTCCATAGAAATCATCGTGTAGCATCTAAAATTAACTCTATATCACTGTTTGCCATTGTGTATTTTGTTTATGTTCTGTGTTTTTAAATTAATTTACTATCAATGTGAATTGGTTAAAAGCGGGGCCATTATAAAAAAAATTATCATTCAAAACATAAATATTGGTCCTTAATCCTGGATTTGTAATGTTTTTCAACTTATTTTTTCTAGTCTTACTAGTAGATTCAGATAGTTGTTACTTATTGTGTATATCTGCCCACAAACACACCCACAACATTGAAGCCTATGAGATCAGTTTAGTAAGCTGCAATATTATGGATATGTGTATCTCATAAAGTTAATCAGACATCCAGTTTTAGACATCTACATGTGAAGTTTTGTTAAGGCATAAAGGTCAGTTTGTTTTAACTTTAATCTGAAACATCCAATTTCTGGAGTAGTTTTCTCCATTGTCAGATAAATTAACGAGAATAATATTTAAAATTAAAATATAAATGAAATTTCCACTCACCTAAGTTGTCACTGTAAAATTTGTAATAATTTTTTATGAGAGCCAAATTTTGCACTGTGGTGCAATGAGGGGCCAATTGTTTTTTAAAAGTTTTCATCATAACATTTCTATATTTAATTATTGTTAAGGTATTATAACTATAATTAAAATTTTTATCTTCATTTTTCCTGGACAAGTAGAGAATCAATATTTAAGGATTCTCCTACTGTTGTGTTTTTCCCAGGCAATTGAATACTAGTCTTAAACGATCTTTATGGCTGTTGCAAGGAAGGTATTTTTGACTCAGTAAATATGGGGAATTTTGTGACTCTAAACCTGCCTGGAGTGTTTACTCTACATGTGTGTGTTTTTAATGCCTTGAGGATAACTGTTGTAGAGAAACTTGTTTTACTGTGTTTACTATCCTACTTCCTTTTTCTGTGGCACATTTGTTTATACTTCAAGGAATATTGAGTTTCTAAGGGATACATTTTAGGAAGCTCTGAATGATATTAAGGTGATTTAAGGAACATCTTACTTTGCTAAATTAACATTTGTATCCTTAAGGTAGATGTTGTTAGGACTGTGAATACTAAAATGTTATAATTTCCTGTTGGTTTATATTATTTTGTTATTTTAAATAATTCTCAGCTGAAAAACAGTTCTTTAATTGAACTTCCTTCTTAATGATTTATTAGGGTATTATAACATTCTTGGTTTACTGATTAGTCCCTATCTGGATAAAACCAACATCTCTTAATTTCACAATCAAAATAACCTTGAATCTGCTTATTGCCAGGCACATTTAAGAATATATTATGAGAGTGAAATCCCTAAAAACATTCAAGTGACAAATAGAAACAGAATATAACTTTTGTTTGTTAACGTAAAATTAAAGAAAAATCACAGTCATATATGTATAACATTAACCGAGGAAAATAAAGTACTATTCTGCTCCTTGGTAAAATTTTAGTCATCTAATAAATATAATTGTGATGTAGCATGTTTATTAGGTGTTTAATCTGTGGCAGATACTATTCTAGGCCATTTTTATTAGGATACTTTTATATGTTATTAGATATTATGTGTAATTTACCTGTTTATTGTGACAATGTGTTGTAGAAACTCTGTAATTGTGTTTGGTTGCATGGTTTCACATAGTGCCTTTGGCAAGAAATTATAAAAAAGGAAGACTTTTGTTCCCTAAGTAAATATAGTTTGATTGTTTTAAAGTTATGGATAGAAAGTGTTAAATTTGTATTTATGAAAGTCAAAAAATGTATATGTAGTATTCAGAAGCTTGTATCTTAAATTTCACAATGATTTAATGGTGATTTGGACATTCTTGTATGACTGACCGTGTCATATAGTACTTTTGGTTGGAGGTGTAGTCCAAATTAATCCAAATATGTAAGCATTATATAAAGAAAGAAAATCTGTACCAGAGACAACATCCTCTTTTTCCCAAGAATTTATTTGTGGGATATAGTGGGAGCCATTTTTAAAATGGAGACCTCCTCACTTCTACTCTCTAGTTTACTGTTAGTGGGACCACATGGGAAGCCTGGACTGTGGCCCCCTCCCAAGAGGATAAGGTGCTCCTTTTCCTCCTCATTAGAGATATGCCAGAGGCAACCTGCAGAGAGGCTGGACTTTTAGCTTCTCTCTGTAGTGATGGAGGAGGCCAGGAAGTAATTAGTAAAAAGATGGAGTAGATGTACCCTATACCTTCTGCTAAAACAACTGAAAATTAAGATCATTATATATAATAACCACTAGAAGACTTGGAAAGGTGGAAGGAAGAAGGCACAGAGACTAGAGAATTCAGAACCCAAGAAATGAGCCAGTGTTGTGTTCTTTGGGCATTCTTTTTACCTCATGTATCTCAATTTAGAACTGAAGAAATGAACTACCATGAAATGGCACTGACTAAAAAGGCCTTTTCAGAAGGCTGCTCTCTCTAACCAAAGGACCAGGAAAGGAGCAACCCAGCAATTCAGAAAATGGCTAGACAGTATTCCCTTTGATTGAGCCAGACACCATAAGCAGCAACAAAATAACTGGCCTGATCCCAAACCACCACAACAAAGAAAGGCCAGGTGGGGGTCCGAGGCTTAAACTCTGGTGAGGATATAACAAGGCACTAAAACTTCCCCATTGGATATTTTCAGAGAAGGGAATTGGGACTTGCATCTTGCCAGGGAGTCAGAAACCTCCTTGCATCCACTCCCTGGTTTATTATTAGTGGGGCCCCATGGGGAGCTGGACTTGTGCTCCCACTAGTAACAACATGCTCCTAACCTCAGAGGCACGGAAGTAGAGTTGGGCCTTTGGCATCTCTCATTAGTGATGCGTTCAGCTCCCCTCCATGGTGTTGGTGGAGTCCATGGCGTGATGAATAATAAGGCAGATACAGACACCGAGATGTGATATTAGAATTACCTGACAAATATTGTAAGTCTCCATCATGCAAGTACTTGAACATTTCCAAAACCACTTGAGAAAAAGATCAAAACAGAAAGTCTCAGCTATAAAGTAGAACCAGATGGAAATTCTAGGTCTAAAAAGTACCAGTAGTCAAAACAATAAATTCAGCAGACAAGCTTTGCAGAATGGACAGAATTGAAGAGACAGAGGAAAGAATTCATGAACTTGAAGCTAACCAGTTCCCAATTTAAATAGGGAGAAAATAGAAAGAAAAAGAATGTCCTCGGGGCTCTGTCAGATTATAACAAAAGATGTAATCTGTCATTGCCCTGTTAGACGAGTTGAAAGAGGGCAGGACTGGAAAAATACCCAAAGAAATAATTTCTGAGAGTTTCCCATGAGCCGGACATTAGATAAGCCCAAGGAACTCTACAAGTCTAATTATAGCCAAACTTTGAAAAGTAAAGGCTATGATAACTTAAAAGCAGCATGAGGCCGGGGGGTGGGGGTGGGGTATATTTTTATAGGGAAAGGACACTTGGGTTTCTTGTTAGCAGATTTCTCACCAGAAACTATGCCAGACCTAAGTAGTACA